ATGATGTGAGCAACCAGTCTCCAGTAAACGATTTGGTGAAGGTGTAGAGCAACATGCCGTCCTTGTCACCATCCATCATGACGAGATCTGCCAGCACTGGCTTGATAGGGCGGAAGTACAAATACCTGACCTCCCTCCGCAATCTCATCCACCCAGAACTTGTAGGAAACGTTCGGCATCATCTGTAACATGATCCACGATCCAATCACTCCGGCATCCATTGCTCTTTGCGCCTTCTCACTCCTTTCCTTCCCAAACTTCACCCACCCACTGGGAACGTCCCACCACTCATGTGAGGTCGACCGGCGCTTCAGCACTTTGTACTGCCACAGACCGTCGCTCAAACCAAGTGCCATGTAATGACAGTGCACTTTGATGATACGCTGTGGGTGAACGGTGAACTCTCAAGCCAACTTGCGAGCCGTATGTTCATGCACAGCCCTGCGGCCACCCGGCGAGTGCAATGACCTGCATGGTGAACTTCCACAGTGTGTGTGATGCCAACTGAACTCACAAGAATGCACTGCTTCCGTCAATTGATGCGTGCATAATGTGAAAAACGCAAGAATGCACTGCTTCCGTCATTTGATGCGTGCACACTTGGAGCCACACGCCCAACTTCAGTCGAGTTGACGCCTGACGCAAGAGAAACGTAAAACAAATTCGAAGTTCATGAACTCGGCATCCAAGAGCCATGCGTAAATGGTCCAACTGCACAGTTGCGTACAAATGTCAAAAGCCGTTGGATCGATTCAATTGACTCATGGTGACCAACGCGCAAATAGAGGACGGAGTGCACTCTGACTCACTCTTGGTTTCTACCTGAACCAACAGGCGGTGAACTCCCGGCACAGTAAGTGCCTGCAAGCCATTGCCAGCGGTGAGACTTTGGCACGGCATAGGCGCAACACCCCATGCACTCAACCCAAAACAAACAGTAGATGAAAGCTCGATCGACAGATCCAGACCTTCCCACCACCCAGATCCAGACCTGCCCACCCTTCACAAATCTTTGCAATCAAAACACAAATAACAATCAAATCTTCCCAAATTCGACCCTGACAGCAGCGTCGTTTTTTTACGCGTCGTGCGCGGGGGCAGTGTGCGCTCCGGTTGGGCGGTGGATGGCACTCTCTCATGAATGAAAAATTCATGGATTATCTAAAATCTCAAAATTTATCGTGGCGATAAATTTTGGACACCCTTGGATCCAGAAATTTATCGTAGCGATAAATTTTTGACCTTTTTAGACCAAAATTTATCGTAACGATAAATTTTGAACACCTCTAGATCCAAACATTTATCGTAGCGATAAATTTTGAACATCTCTGAACCCAAAATTTATCGTAGCGATAAATTTTGGACACCCCTGGATTCAAAAATTTATCGTAGCGATAAATTTTGAACATCTCTGAACCCAAAATTTATCGTAACGATAAATTTTAGACACCCCCTGGATTCAAAAATTTATCGTAATGATAAATTTTGAGTACCACTGGATTCAACCATCTATCGCAACAATGCATTGTGAGCACCACTGGATTCAACAAATATTGCGACAATAAACTTTGGGTATCTATGCATTCACAAATTGAAGTATCTCTGAAGTAGTGATCAACACCTACCAACGTGCCTTTATCCAACACCCCCGGCATGGCACCCTCTGCCCTGCTGTGCCGTGTCCGCCGTCCCTCGCCTCCAGATCACCACTGAAAATTCAGATACGATGAACATCTAGCGAGGCTTTCAGAGGTTGAGTGACTATGAAGTTGGCATGTGGTTGGTGTACATGGTTGAGTACGTGTATACATAGCTCGACCCACCTCAACTCTGCAGAGGCCGGGGCGGTGGACAGATTCGGGATGAAGGACGCTCGTGAACATGTTTGGGCCCACCACCACGTTTGGAAGCCATGTCATGGTGACATGTTAGTTGCATGGATTGCCATGGAGTTCATGGAGTGACATGTCATGACCTGTCACATGGCGGTGGACCACCTTGCGATGCAGACCCTGTTTGGCCTTCTTCGCCATGCCATGATGTCTGGCCATGTGCATGTGGATGTGGATGTGGGTGTGGATGTGCATAGTGCAATTGCCATCCGATGGCCATGGCCAGACATGCCTGTACCTACCCTGTGAGATCAGAAGGTGCCCGTGGAAGCTCATGGGAGGTTAGTTCATTAGAGCTTAGTTCATTAGAGCTTAGTTAGAGCTTAGTTCTCGAGCCGGGCCCTTCCACCACACGGCGCGCGACCACCGCCAAGTCACGCACCGCGTGCATGCAAAGCGACCAGTCCTGCGCCTTGCCCTTGCTCTTGCCGGCTGCCGCCGCCGCGGCCTGGCGCTCCTGCGAGCCCTTGCCCGCTGTCCTCTCCGGGTCCTCCCCTGGCCACACCTGAGCTGAGGGAGCGTTGAACGCTTTATACGACAGACTCCAAAGAATTACAGGGCAATTTATACCAAGATTGCTCGCTCGTACAGACAGCAGGGCCTGTTAGACTATCAATGAAGATTCATGGAGGCTCGCTGCAAGAAAGCAAAACAATGGTCACGCACAAGAAAGTAAAACCATTGATCAAAGCATATCAAAGGCGCGCGTAGAAGTTCCCGGCCAGGTCCTTGTAGCCACCGACGCAGTACTCGCCGCCCCAGGCATCGAACTTCCCCTTTCCGGCGCCCTTGCCCTTTCCGCCGGCGAAGTCCTTCTGCTTGGACTTCCAGGATGCCCAGTGCGGCTTGTGCTGCCGCGGCTGCCATCCACCATAGCCAGCCCTGGCCATGCCCCCACCATCCGGCCTGCTTCTGGTGGCCATCATCATCATTCTCCTCCGTCTCCGGCTGCTCATGGCCTTCCTGGCCTTCGCCACCCTCCATCTCATCAGGGTTGACTTCATCATCCTGCTCCTGGCGCTCCTCCTCATGGCCTTCGCCGCCCGGCTCACCCAGCTCTTCTTCGAGCCCATCCTTCTCCTTCTCCACATACTCCTCCTCCTCATCCTTCACATAATCCTCCTCCTCCTCCTTCTCCATCACCTCAACCCTGGCGGCCTTCGCGGCCCTCATCAGCTCAGCCTCATCCTCCGCCCTGTCCTTGCGGTTCCACCGCCCTTGCGCCTTTGGCTTTGCTGCATGGCGCTTCTGGATCTCCTCACCGAGCTCGGCCTCCTCCTTCCAGATGTTCATCGCGTCCACCAGCTCCTGGTGCTCCTCCTTGAGGATCGGCCGCTCGAGCATCTTCAGCGCCGCCCCAACCTCCTCGAAGGGCTTCTGCTTCTTCGGCGCGTGCTCCTCTGGCTTTTCGCCAGATGCTGGCCGCTTCGGCCTCATGGCTGCCATGGCCCTGGATCGATGCCTCTGCAGAGGCAGGTCTGCAGAGGCAGGTCGAATTGGAAGCCCCTGAATACTGAAGTGTGTGAAGTCTGTGATATGGCTCTGGAGTTGATGCATGAAGTTCTGGTGTGTGAAGTCTGTGATATGGTTCTGGAGTTGGTGCATGAAGTTCTGCAGTTACTGACGTGGTATATGGGGCGTTGTGAGTTGGCAGATGAACTTCGGAAGCCGTGGAGTGGCACGCATGGAACGTTGTGAAAGGTGGCACAGGAAGTTATGACGTTCTCAGTGGCATGCGTGGTGCGTTGTGAGGTAGTGCACGCACAAGTCTGTATGTATGTCTATGTCTCAGTATACAGTAAATGAATGTAAACGACACAACTGGCCATAACATATCACAGTGCACCTGCAATCGTGAAAAACAAACACCTGTAATCGTGAACGAAAAAAGCTATGCCATGTCTGAAGGCCCATGCCATTCAGACATGGCATGCATCCGTCTTGAACCGCGGCGAAGCGGCGTCAAATTGATTGAAGCTTCAGTGCAAATGAAATGGCAACACCGATCGACGAATGTTCACAAAGTTCAAAGACAATGATTTACAACCCAACGAAGAACCCTTCAAAGACTCCTGCAAACCGCACCCACAAAGTTTCATCAAAGGCTGTTGAGGTTCCCCGACAACAAGGCTCTGCAGGCCATGGTGAAGGTTCCAACCTGATGGCGCACAGCACAGGATGCAAAGGAACCCATGACTTGGAGGGCCTCAAACGTACACCTTCCTGACTCGAGCTCAAATGATTTGCCTATTTCTTTCAAAGGGCTCCGGGCTCCGTCTATTCAAACACATTTCAAAAACACAAAGCAGCTCTGCGCTTTGAAGCAGCACCAAGAATGCCTACTCGTGCACATCAAAATGATGCACCGATGGGTCGACCTGAGTGTTGGGAAACTCGGTCTCATTGCTCAAAGTCTCTCGCCGTTGTTTTTTTGGTGATGGAGTATCGGCCAAGGGGGCCATGCGTCTCAGTTTCTTCTTGTGCGACGCACGCTTCTTCCTCGTAGGCACCTGCCCCTCGCCCTTTTGGACCAAAGCCCTCATGTAGGCCATGTTCTTGTGGGTCAACTCAATCCACAGGTCCTTGGACTTCACACCGAACAAGACCTGGACCTCCCGGGGGGGATACGTCTCCCCTTCCCTGGCAGCAAGATCTTAACAACAGGATCAACCAAGCACACATCTTCGTCCCGCACCCTCTTCTTGCGGCGCTGACTCGCGGGCTCATCAGCTTCAGGCATCTCCATTTGCGCGCGCACGGAGGCAATGCTGGCGGTCTTCCTCAAAGCCAGCAAATCCTCAAAGAGTGTGCTGTTGGAAGACATTTGCGAGAGCAACTTCACAGTCCAGAAATCATTTCTTCACTTGCCCCCGCATATCACAAGGCTCCCGGCTCAAAGTCGTGTGACCAACCAGCCTCCATGACAAGCTTACACAGGTTTGGTTTTTGCGCCTCTGTGATTCAGAAAGGCCAAACAAAGAACATACCAAACTTCCAGAACCTCACAACAAAGTTGCACCGCAAGCACACTCCCCGTTTCCCATCATTGAGCTCAAGTCGGTGGCTGGCACCATGTTGCGCCGCAAAAGTTGTGGCATTAAAGTGCTCCTATGAACCCTTGGATTTGGTCCTGGCGCGCTTGGCAGGCGGTAGCGCGGCGATGGGAGCTAGTGGCTCTGGCTCCTCTTCCACTTTCACTTGGGGCGTATAGACAATCAACTCGTCTTGATACATACATGGGATCTTGATAGAATTGTTCTCTGCGTCTGTCAAGTTGGGGCGAATCTCACAATTTGCATCCTCAAGAACATGGGTTCTCTTGACCATCCAAAAAGGCTGCAGGAACGAACCAGTCAAGTTGCCGTCCTTGGAATGTAGGAAGGCAGGCAAGAGACTCAAGGGCACATCCCTGATTGTTCCAATCGAAAGGCCAGAGCTCGCCTCTTTGGATTCAATCTTCCATGTTGATGGGATGAGGATCAACTTGTTTTTGGCAAAGGGCTTTGTGCAAAAGACTGCTTTGGAAGGTTTCACCTGGAGTTTCAACCCCTCAAGCACTTTGGCGTGCTGTTGATCCAATTCAATGAAGCGCCTGGCCACCTCACCCTTGGCGCACATGAGATTGATTGCATCTGACTTGAGCGCCGTATGGTCAGAGAAGGTGGCAAACTCATGTTGCGTGGTCTCAACATGTTTCTTGACTATTTTCCATTCTCCTCTCAAGAACGATCCAGCCGAAAGCTCAAAATATCCAGAAACATCCTCTGTGTCCAAAGACAATTTGACCTTCCACCCCTTCAAACTCTCGATTGTGGCCCTAACCTTGTCCTTCTTGCGAAGAACCGATGCGCCTTCGACAAAGCCCTGTTCTCTCACCAGCGCTGCCTCTTCCATGATCTTCCCAAACTCATCGTACTCGCGCCTTGAATTGACATGGACAAGGGCTTTTGAATATACGGTGCAAGAAAGGCTTTGGACAGTGAACGAACTGTGAAACTATTTTGTAGGTTCACTATGCACCAAAAAACAAAAGGAACTCCTTGCAAAACTGTCCGACCCAATATGCGGTGCAAGAAACGCTTTGGAGAGTGAATGACATCAAACTATTTTGTAGGTTCACTACGCACAAAAAACTCTTGATGAAACTGTCCGGTTGGCGGAATCACTGAGGGACCCGGGCTTGCCGCAGGAGCTGATGGGGTGGAGCTCTCAGGCTTCCTATGGGCATCGAACTCGGTGGAAAGCCGCTTTCCAAGAACCTCCCCAAGTTCATCCATGAACTTGCACGCCATGGATTGAGGAGTCAAGTCCTTGCGCTTCTCAAGGACTTCCAAGACCAAGCCATCTTGGAATTTCTCAAAGCAAGTTTGCACCTGCTGCGCGGATTCGTCCGGAATACTGACGCTGTCCAAGAGCTTCTGCATTTTGATCATCAACCCCTCTGCCTTTGCCACGGCTGGGGACATCTCTTTGGACAAGATTCGTCGGGCGTCACTGGCCCCAACCAACTTCTCTGAGTTGTAGGCTCATGCCGAAACCAAACATGCTGCGCCTGCCAATCCTTCGACGCGCCCGACAAGTTCACAAAGAACTCTGTCCCGAGCACCTTCTTCGTGCTCGCATTCTTCTTGACCCTGCTCTCAATCTTTGCCAGCAATCTCTTATGCATGTACTTGAGCAAGAACTGATACATGTAGGGGGTGGCTTCAGCGCAGGCTGGCTTGGTCCTCATGACATCTTTGTGAACTTGGACCCACTCTGGAGGAGGGGTGGACCTTTCAATCATGCCCTTCATGCGCAGCAAGATTTGCCACTCATGCTCTCCCCGCTGCAAGTGGCCGGAGGTATTGGATGCTGCCTGGATCAGCTGTGGCACACCTTCGATCGCTGCAGCTTCCTTGGACACAATCCGCCAGATCATGCCTTCCTCAGCTGCCTTGTACAGCTGTGGATCATGAGATCAAGCTCGGGCCATCGACAGTTTGCCTTCCAGCGCCAGGGGACCGGATCCATGATCTCGTGGAAGTTTCACTTCGTGGCGGAGGGCTCTCAAAGCTGCATTGGTATGAGAGCCAGCCAAAGATGCGTACCGCATCGAAGTCGGAACCAAATCCGGTAACAAGCCCCCAGAGCTTCTCACCAACTCTTGGTTGAACGATAGAACCTCCGCGTGGTTTGGTCCGACCTCTGAACAGATCGGGTTAGTCTCACGACTATCCCACCCCACCTCACTGAGACCATGAAGAAGTGCGTGAACGTCGTGTCCGCTCAGCCCAAAACCATCTCTATTCTCCGGATGACACGCAACTTCATCCGGCAACAAGACTGAGCTCCTAAGAAGATGGTGCCTTGTGAGTGCGGCCATCAAATTGTGGCAAGCCTGAACAAGCTGCCCTTCTTTGGCCTGCTTGAGAGCGGCCTGGATCTCATTCAACGCCTCTGGGCTCACAGCCATACTTTCAATTTCGACATACAGTATATACCTTGATCCAAAGCTACAGTACAGTTGCGCGAGCTGCACACGCAGTCCCTGCGATATATACCAACTCTGCGAGCGTCTTTCAGGCACCCTGCGTTTGTTTAAAGACATGATACCTGTCAAATCGAGCAAATGTCAGATGCTTTGCAAGTTCATGTAACGCTCTTTGTGTCAAAACTCTGGTTTCTTTGATGCATTCGTTTCAAAGCAATGGCAAGCAAACAGTGGCAACAAACACACGCGCACAAAATTCTTCAAGCAAGGTAGAACAGAAAGGTCAAAACATATTCACTGAAACCGTCTTCCAGCAAGTCAGAGACGACGCCTCATCAATCTCGATGTCGCCAAGGTCCATGACCCAGTGCACATGGGCCGGCGACAGTGCGGTGCGGTCACGGCGTTTCATGGGAACTTGTGGTCCGAATCCTCAAAAAATATAACGCGCATACGTCTACACTTTCTTGCTGCTAGCAGCCCGAAATCTAAGCTTTACAATGTTGCAAGAATTCCATTTCCATATCTTTGCCAATTTGCAAGCAACCCATCGAGCTTGAGATGCGCATGAATCAATCCACAAATTTGCCATCGAGCGCGGTCGGCAAACTAGAAATCAACATTGCACTGCTGACGAAAACCTTCCACGACAAACGAAATCCAAAAAAATCGCCCCCCAGGACTCCAAAAACACAATTTTGGCGCGGTTAAGGCCTATTTATAAGTAGGCCAGTTCCATTTATTTTTGTTTTGTAAACAGTCGCGTTTAGCCAAGTGGGCTAAACAAGCCAAATCCTTTACCCAACTTCAGCGAAGTAGGCTAAACGCGACTGAAAAACTAGGTTCAATTTAACACATGATTGGCAGGGTTGATAAACATTTATGAAAAATGCACAATATTTAGTAAACATGACATGTGTGTTTGTCCACCATGTCGGGTTTGTAAGCCTGACAACCTATGGTTGTCTCAGTTATGACCATGGTTATAACTTGGTTATAAACAGCCTGATCGAGACAAAACTTTAGCAACCAGCGCGAGCATCCAAGTAGTGATCCCGTTGTCAGTCCACAACGAGCACCTCCGTTTCTCTTTGTGTCTTGGGCGAAAGTAGCAGAAGAGCGAGGTTTGCAAATCTTACATAAAGATGGTGATTCGCGTCCATATGATGAGACTGACAAAGCGTTAGCTCAGAAAGGCTGTCTTGTCCCAGGGGAGAAGGAACTATTCCTTAAAGCTAATAAGCCTTTGCTGCAACAGTTGCAGGACCAGGTCATGCCACTGGAGAACATAGCACTTGAAGTCCTCCAAGCCATCTATCACCAACAGCAAGTGGAGTTCTCATGGAACACACTCCTGTGGAAAGTGGCCGAACGCAATCAATTCTGGATAGGCTATGATGCCTTGCCGATGCCAATGGCCCTGCAAATCAACTTTGGAGGCCTTGGAGGGGGCACTCTTGATGGTCCTGTCCCGCCGCACTTTTACTGCACCTGCCCTTCAGTTAGCGAAAGCCAGGTCTACGGGCCATCACCTTCGCCGGCAGATGTTGCGAAAAAGCAAATGACGGAGGTCGCTGCCGGATATACCACAGGCATCCATGAAGCAGCTGCCCTGTTCTCGCATATACAGGATCCCTGCGAGCGATGGGAGCTCCTTGGCTTTGGTAAAGCAGCTGTATTGCACAGGCGAACTCAAATTGTACTGAATGCCGCCCGTTTGCTCCCAGCGCACAGGAGGCTCCCACATAAGGCCTTCCTCAGTGGGCTTTGGTGGAAGCTTCTGTCCATACAGCCGATGCAGCTTTTGGCCACCCTTCCGATGCTAGGCCATCTGCAACATGCAGCGCAGCCCTCTCCGGGACATTTCGCTATTAACGGTTTTAGTGCAGGCAGCTATGCAGGAGGAGTGATTGCCTTAGCAATTCGCTGTCTCTGGCCGCAAAGCCAAATCACTGCTCGTCTAGGTGCCATAGCCATGCCCAAGGGGGGTCCTGGCCGCACTAGTTGCTACGGCGGACGAGAATCTGCATCATTATTGATTATTATCTTGTTCATGCTGGAGCTGATTCTCTTTGTGACTGGAAGCCAAGTGACCAGGAACTGCAGATATTCCAGCAGAATCTCCATGTCACCTACGTGGATGAATCAGCAAGATGGATGGGAAGCTGCAAGCGCAAGTGTTGGCGCTGGCTACACTGCCAGCTGCCTCGGGGTCGTGTTCGACTTACTGACCTTAAACTTAGTCATCCAGCAGTCATCCCTGGCAGAGACCGCATGGCAGCCCCAATGCGTCTTGCTTCCTGGATACGCTTTGAAACGCTCATGGTGAGCGCAGACTGGGCAGGAGCTATTGGCATGCTTGTCTCCAACATCCACAAGTCTGACCAAACACGCCTGCAACTGCTTCAAGTGTGTGTTCCTGGCCAGGCGATTACCTCAATGGAAGAAGCACAAGCCCTTTTGCTGCGCAACTTTCGAGTGGGAAAAGATGAAAACAGTGCATGTGCCAATTGGCCCACGGAAATGGCCAGAGACATGCTGGCACCCATTCCCTTTCGTGAGGTCTTTGTCATACTCGCCTTGTTCCTCCCACAGCTGACATTCCTAGAGGGTATTAAAGCGCAGCAAAGCCTGTGGGCGAGTCCTGCGGTTAAGCAGCATGGCGTCCAGGTAGAGATCACACCCACTGCTGCAGGGCTCCAAGGAATGCGTGAATACCATGTTTCCTTCCCCACCTGGTCTACTGTAGCAGCCTTTTGCCCGGCCCCGTTATACAGCAGCTGAGCTTCGAACACCTCATAGAGCGGCCCTCAGCCGAAGTCCACATTGGATGCCAGGTAGGAAAGGTCTACCGCCTTGTACTACAGAGCAGTGAAGGTGTGTATGCAGTGCTGGCCGTAATAGTGGCTTTCGCCACACAAGCCAGGAGAAAGTCGAACCGTAATGGGCAGGAGTCGTACTATGACAGAGTTCGAAGGCAAAGCAGTCCTCGATCATGGGATGTTGCTCTCGTACCATTCCCTGGAGATTTCGCGCCGCTTCCCACCTTGCAGGAAACAGGTGCTGCACAAGAGGCTCAGTGGGACTTCCCTCCAAGCCTCACTGTGTTGACATTAGCTTTCAGCTCCTTGCCCTTGCAGAAGTCGGCAGCACTGTCACAGCAGACCATCTAGTGCAAATGGCCACAATGCCACCTGAGCACAAGCCCACAGCGCTAGGAATACCGGCACACCTGCCCATCCCATATCAGCTCGCCTGTTCCCGCGCCATGCTCCAGAGTCTGCGCTCGCTGTTTGCACTCATTGCTACGGGTGATACGCTTACGTTTTGCCCCCAAGCAGCTGAATTCTCAAAGGAACTATGCACGGCCGCTCGCACTGACAATGGACATATTGTCTCGCTGGCCACAGGATGGTCGCTGGCTCTGCGCTCCGAAGGGTCCACCATCGCTGTGGCAGGGGTCTTTGGCGCGGGGAAAACCCGCTCCCTTACATTCCTGCTAGCTTGGCTTGCCATTACCACCAACCTCAAGATTGGGGTCGTGCGCAAAGAAAATCCTGCCGGCAGAGCCGTTACTAAGCTCCTCACCTCATTTGATGTGCAGCCCTATCACAGAGAACACTTCATTCGACCAGTGAAGAGGTGAGGCGAACACCGCCAAGACTGAATTTGACCTGCCAGCAGCAGAGGCGGCTTCCAAAATCCCTAGCTGTAGAGTGGTTATCACCACAGCCGGCCTACTATGGGAACAGAAGGGACAAAGCCACTCCACCCTGAATGCGCGCATGGAAGACATCGATATCCTCATCAATGAAGAAGCGCAACAGGATATGGACCTCAAGACTGCATTTACGCCAGCTGTACCACGGCAGCCGTTCTTTCGAGCAATTTTGGGTGACCCGAAGCAGAGCCCTGGCGGGGTGTCCCACCGCACACTGTTACTCAAGGCGCCAATAGGTCTGAGAGCGGATCATAGCTGGTACATGCCGCATGAAGCCCCTACAATCTTTAGTACGCTCTCCATAGGCGCCAAGGCTTCAAGCAAGAGGACTTGGTGCAGGCAACAGATGCAGCCAGCAAGACCCCACAAGGACAGACATGGTTTAGGCCGGACAAAGTTGCAGCCACGACACCCTTCGGGAGGAGCTTGCAGCAAACCTATGGCGATCTTGCACGAGTTGACCTGTCCTTGCCAGAGGGCCTTTTGGTGGGGCTAGGCTATGCAGCGACGAACCCAGGCAGCCCTCTCAGCTTTCACCAGGCGCAGAGCGCAGCCGAGAGATCGGGCGTCGCAGGGCTACACCAATGGAGCATCATGCTCCCCACTAGTGCCCGGGTATCGCAAGAAGTCTACGAGCCGCTCATAGGAATCCAATATCCTATGTTGTGCAGCCGTAAGCAAGACGACTGGCAAATAGGCACTACTTCCATCAGAGCGAACCACCAAGTTGCAACGGGCCTCAGGTTTGTCAATTGGCACCACTCCTCACAGAATGATGAAGCCGTCGCCAACCCACCTGCGAATCAAACCATCCTTACCTATAACCACCTGGAGAGCCTGCTGTCAAGGGCGTCTGCAGGGAACGATGCAGTGCTTGTCCTCACAACCACGCGAAGCAGTGCAACGGCTCTGCAAGGTCACTTCCATGAAGAAGGAAAACAGGCTAACGCTGAAACTGCCGTCAAGGTAGCAGGAGCAACGGCACGGCATTGCATAGTGCTACACGGGTGCACAGCCTTCCTCAGTGGAAATGGTAGAGATGCTGATTTCGACTCGGAATGCTACACTCGTGCCAATGTGGCCTTTAGCCGTGCCACAGATCTCACGGTACTGGCACGTCCTGTTAACATGTATGGCATCCCGGGAGCATTGCAAGTGCTGGCGGCTCTCCTACATGGCGTGCATACCATACACACCAATGACTCGCTCGAGTTGTATACGACTGGTGCCCTCGAGCTAAGTGCAATGTTAGTCAGTGAAGCCACTGCAGCGTTTCATGAGGCGTTGATGCCGCATGACCCCTGGACCGGCCCACTGCCAGTGTGTTTAGCAGAGCATCATGAAGGGAGGGTGAGGCGCTTACGACTCGTCCTTGCAAGTCAGTCTCTCCTGCTAGGAACCGAAACCACATACATGCCGGACGGGCCCCACTTCCCGGGGAAAAACTTGGATAGTGGTCTCCTGTTTGGGTATGCCCCGGATGCTTGCCCCCACGTGGAGTGGATTGTCCTGCAGGACAGCAGGCAGCCAGGGACGTGTAGGCTACTCCATAACAGCAAGGATCCTGGACGCAGGTTCAGATGCTCCCAGCGGTACCAGCCCACACAAAGTGCCACTCAGGGCAAAAAGGCACAGGCCTACCGATTTGAGGCGCTGCGCAAAATCTATTTCTATGATGCATGGCGCCAGGA